AAACCTTGTCTGGGAGAATACTATCTCACTTTCCTATTTATCGCATGCGTTAATCCGCACCTCAAGAATCAGTATTCTTCGTCTTTATATCCTACTTATGCGCCAGAATTCCTATCTGTATAGAATCCCACTATCTCCTACCCTTCTATAAATATTCCCTCTTCTGTCCCTCCGTTACAAAACTAAGCTTTTGGTACGCCTTTTGTGCCCTCTTGTTCCACTCAGAAACCGTTAACTCAACACGGTGCAGCCGCGCAGTCAAAAAGGACCAGTCCAGCATCCACGATATGGCCTCAGGCCGATATCCCCTCCCCTGGTACTCTCGCGCAATAGTAATTGCTAACTTATATGTTCGATAATGTGCGAAACCAGGCGCTTGTTTTCTTAATGAGATCACACTAATCGCCTCAGGAACGTTATCGGAGCCTACGTCTGGGATGATACATATTATGACTGACATGAACACAATAGCTTCGAGATTTGCTCGTATCTCCTTTCGCTCCTTGTTGCTGAGCGGGCGTATGAGGGCGGTGGAGGCTATAGATCCGACTACGGGGTCACTGTAGAGAGCGTGAAAGAATGTCTCGTCTTTCGGGTTGTCCTCTGGTGCGCGATAGAGAAGACGTGCGGAGCGGTAGGGTTCTAATGGGAAAGGATCTATTGCGATCGTCTGGGGCTTGTTGAAGGCTAAGGGGCAAGCAGTGAACTGTCGGTATCTTGATGGTTAGTTAACAGAGCGAAGAGAGATTATTTATATAAAGGGTATACGTGAGCCTTCGCTGTCAGATCTCTAGAGGTGACCTTTTAGTTGGTTAATGAGTCGTAATCAAATACGAACCAGATCGCTCACAGAAGCCTATGAACTTAGGGGGTGGTTGTATTCTAACTCTTGAATGTAACGTTGTCTATTCGTTGTACTGTACTGTACTAGGTATAACAGTGACGTTGTATAAATGTTTAACACACCCGCCCTAACTTTTTAGTTGGAGTGTCCTTATTAATTCCTGTGGGGCGGGTGTGTTAAAAACTTATGTAACCTTACTGTAGCTAGATTCTCGTTCCACGACTTGGCCCTACACTCTGGTAGCACTTCGAAAACAGATTCCCTTATGGACACATGTATTGTTTCTCAGCCCGTACCCGAAACAACACTAATTCGCATACAGTTACAGGACAAATAATACCTGCTTAGCCGTACTGTATCTTGAACGTAACTATTGGATCTCAGCGGCGAATGAGTTATTGTAAAATACTGTACGGAGTACGTCTCTATCGAACGTTCGACATAGAGTCCTTAAATGGGTGGGGAAGGGGTTAAGAGAAATAGCGATCGATCTGGCCCTATTTATGCCTAGCGTCCCCCTTTTCTTCACTTCCTTCTACAGCCTTTGTCTTTATCTTTTCATAATTTTTTCTCACATTTGGTCTACAACCAAGCAAGCCCCTCTACTACGCTGTGGCGAGCGGGGAATTATTAAGCCCTGTAGGGTCTAGCGCAGTATATTCACTGCCATAGGCAAGATGTATTATGCTATGGTCTTATTCCCTGGCTTTGAAGCCCTAGACGTCTTCGGGCCGCTGGAAGTCCTTAATGTCCTCTCTGAGCAAACTTATCTTCAGCTGTCCTTCTGTTTCAACGCGTTCTCTAGATCCGGCTGCCCACCGAACGGGCTTAATTTGTTCGTAAGAAATAGTGCTAACAGGAATATTCAATGACTTCATTGACGCTATAGGCACAGACCGCAGTCTAGAAAGCAAATCGATTATTGATGTTCTCCTGGTCCCTGGTGGTGCTGGGATACGTTTCCCTGCTACTATCAACCCCGTTATCGAATCTGTTGAGAAGGTATTCCTATCGGTGAAATATATTATCTCTATCTGTAACGGGGCGGGTGTATTAGCAAGAACAGGGATCTTGGATGGAAGGAGGGCTATTACTACTAAGTTGTTATGGGAGCCGACAACTGCTCTTAGAAAAGAGGTCTATTGGGTTAAGGAGGCAAGGTGGGTTATGGATGGGAATACTTGGACTGCTTCTGGGGTGAGCGCCGGTATTGATGTGACACTGGCGTTCGTACGATAGGTATATGGAAAAGATCTAGCCGGAAGCATTGCTAGAGAAATTGAATATGTCTGGGACAGCGAGGATGATGGTACAAAAGATCCCTTTGTATCTTAGCCTCTGCCCCTTGAATTCATTATTAGAGTTACCAGGATAGAGCAGATAGGAGGATATGACAGCTGATAGCTTAATTATTTTTAACCTACTGTGCATTATATAAATGTAGCTCCAAACGGGTATTCTCGGTGCTATACTGTGTATATGATTTCAACAATTCTGAGGATAGCGGTGCTGCAGAAGGATGGATGTCAAGGTATGGGGGGCTCAATGAGTATAGAGGTACACTGAGGTAGGAGTGTAAGCGTGGTCGTGTAAAATACAGTATTATACGTAATCTATTCGTTCTTGGATTTAAGAGGATCTGTGCTTGAAAGATGATTGTTTACGGCCTAGCTAAATATGGACTAGGGTGGTTTCACACACAGGCCGAGAAACAATGTGCGTGTGTCTATGGGGGAATCTGTTTTCGAAATCGCCTGTACTACTATGCTATATCTAAAGTAGATTCCTCTTTGTCTACACAGAAATTAATAATCCAATCCTATCATAATGTGCGCTAGTCCCTATTTTAGAAAATCACAGATAGTGACTGTTTTACTTACAGGCTATATCTGCAGCTAATCCGAATATATACTAATGCTTCTTCAGATAATAGGGCTAGAATATTATTCTTCCAGCGAACGAAGGGTGATCTGATTTCGATAATGGTAGTACTATATTTGGCTATGGAACTAAATAACTGAGAGAAGGTAGTGTGAGTTATAAACCTGGCTAGATATGCACCCCTCTTCTACCTGAAATGGCTGGTTGGTTTGCGAGGGAGCTGGTCTAGATAGCAAAAATCTTATACAAAATTATGCAACTGTTTCCGTTCAACGTTTATGGATAACGGTACAAGAATATCACCAAATCTAGACTTATGAGTAGCTTAATTGTAATGGGTGTACCAAAATGCAAGATACTGTACTATAAAGTTACAGGGGATTTTAATAACAGACAAAGTTTTAAGCCTAGATTGCCTTGAGATCCGTACGAGGGATGTCGTTATGAAAATTTCAAAAGTTCAAAATTGACACTATCCCTATATATAAATAATTGTCTGTTATGGAGACCAATCACTAGTTATTTGAGGGTTAGTATTAGCGTAAGTAGGGCGTTGGGAAAGAAAGTGTGTGTCTGGGTTGTAAGTTACCCGACTAGCTAGCAACATTAAAGATACTACCCGGATATATAGCCTGGTGTAATCGGCCGGCAAATTTAGCGATGATTTCTGACTTAATATCGGAGTTGTCGAAGCTAGTAGTAGAGATTTTAAAATCACGGATATTAGCTAGCCTAGTAGAACTAATCGGCCTAAGCTCCGGTAACTCGAAATGGCCCTCAAACAATTCAAGCGTAAAGCCTCGAACCGGACCTACTGGGAGCGAAATATGGAAATGAATGCCTCTGGGAACGACACAAATCTCGTTGGATCGGACGCGTAGGTAGCCTATTTCTGTGCGTATGTCGAGTGTGCCTTTTTGCGGAGCTATAGTAATTATAAGAAAATGTCGTAAATACGAGGGTCGGGCAGCGTACCTAGAAGGAAGTCTCTATCCGCACTGTAGAATGCCTTGTTAGGTATATATTTTAAGTTTAAGGTATTATTGAGGTTGAATGGATGACTCTCGAGGAGGCTAAAACTTTTATGGCATGTCGATGGAAGAAGCCGGTATAGCTATGTCTGCTTTGAGTCCTTCCTCGGCACGGTGAAAGAGCTTCCGGAGATTCACTCGGTATAGAGCCTATAGGAGGGTTTTTGAGGGATACTAATAACCGATGGAATAGCACCCTCTACAGCTGGAGACCTGTAATTGATTAGTAACCTGAATAAAGTACTGGAAGAGAGTCTATATACTCGTGGAAGCTGTTGAAGCTATTCAAGTATTTGAACTTGTTATTAATCTCGAACGTGGAAGTTGTTATGGCTGCTGCTTTATTAGCGATGAATGCCACGTCTCTCTAGCACTGAAAGACGAGCTTGAGTTCTTCAACCTCAGAAGTTGGCGACTTTGAATATAAATCAGCCGGCTAAGCAGCAGATCTAGCTATTTCACACTAAAAGCGCCTAGAACGGTAGCTCAGCTACGTAAGTAGGCTAGTATGATGAAGGATCTACTAGATCGGCTCTCAAAAGGCTCTCTAAGCCAGTTCAAATCATTGGTAGATCAGATTCTTAAAGGCCACTACCTTTCGCTACCCACCCTTACATTGGTTACGCAGGATAATGCGAATCTACGCGCAGCGAACGGGAAGATCGTTAAGAAGCGCAATCTATTAACTAAGTAGGTACACTATGAAGAGGATTCGACCGTTGAAGAGGGCCTACGGCTAGTGGAACAGCTAAACTATCCGGTGGAAGCTGATGGGGTAGTATCGTATGCGCAGGGCGAGTTGCCTAGTCAGCAGGATCAGCGATGGAGGAGGGCTCCGCCCACCTGTAGCGGATGTGGAGGAGTTGGCTACAGGATTACTTTATGTAAGAATCGTACTATCTAGTTAAATTAATGGGTGTTGGTTGAGATAATCGATTTCGAAGATTTCTAATGGGGCTTAGTGACCCGGTCATGCGGGAATTACGTTAATATCTGTGCCCTCCGTCATAGTACGGCACACCCATACAAATTCCTATATACGGGTGTGCGAGAAGGAACGGATATGCGAAAATTACGTCGTATTAATAGCCCGAACCACTTCGGACCAGCACCGAGCGGGGGTGGAGCACGACGATTTCTGGATCGTGGGGGTTAGAGCAACACCGTCAGTCTTAAAATACTCCCTCCAAGTCACATTGATCTAATTATTTTCAGCCTGTCGTCACCCTTTATCCTCAGACACCATGTTAAATCTCCAAGCTTCAAATCTCTTCTCGGTCCAGGGTCGCGTCGTGGTCATTATTGGCGGAGGCAGCGGTAAGGCCCACTAAGGGGAAGTCAAGGGAATACATACCCACCCTGATCGAATTCACACTGACAGAAGGCTATTTCTCCAGGCCTGGGCCGGATTATGGCCAAGCCATCGCTATCAACGGTGCTTCTAAGACTTTCGTCCTCGGACGCCGGGAAGACGCTCTCCGTGAGACAGCTGCCCCCGCACGGGACGGGGTCATTATCCCGATTAAATGCGACATCACATCAAAGGAGTCCCTAGTATCAGCATACCAGGCTCTCATAGCACATATATCCCATGTCGACATCCTCTTCGCTAACGGCGATCTCCTGGGTCCGCTCATGCGCCCGCCCCTGCCTAAGGCTGACGGCACACTGCCATCGCTTTCAGAAATACGCGATGAGTTGTTCAACGTCCCAATGGAGGAGTTTACAAATGTCCTGGACGTCAACGTTACCGGCTCATACTATACGGTTCTAGCCTTCTTGCCGCTGCTCTAGGCAGCCAACAAGAAGCGACCCACGCGGCAGGTAGGTGTGCTTACGGCTCGACTGCACAGGTGATAATTACTAGCTCTATTGCGGGTTTCCACCGAAAAGTGCCGTTTAGCTATGCATATAATGCGTCCAAGGCTGCCACTACTCATATCGTGAAGATGCTTGCCACTAATCTATCCTCGTATGATATTCGACTCAATGGTCTCGCACCGGGACTGTATGACTCCGATATGGCCAATAATGGCATTGTTGAGAGTGGTGTTCAGGGCGGTGGCATCTCCGAAGGTTCTTTCCCGAGGGATATGATTCCTCTGACTCGAAGTGGTAGTGAGGAGGACTTCGCTGGTTTGATCATCTGGCTAGCCAGCAACTCTGGCGGTTACGTAAATGGTGCTGTTCTGCTTAGTGATGGTGGGCGGGTCAGCGTGGTCCCGAATACGTATTAGAAGTTGGAATGTCTGCTGAATGCTTGGAGTGATCCATGTATCCACTAACTAGTCAGGAAGTGCCTCTCGAACGATAGAATGATATAGCAGAATAGACATTTCGTCGGACTATACGAACTTCTTCTACCTTAGCCCACGCCAAACGAAACCTCAAAGCTCTCAGCTGGCACCTTCAGGGCCCCAAGTTTGCATGAATCTCGCGGCCCTGAAAAGCGAAGTTAAATATTCTTGCTGTAAGTAGCTGAGCCCTCGGGGTTGATTATAATATGTGTTTTCTCTCATTCAGGGTTTTCTAAGCTGATAACTCGTTTCGCACTGTCACAGTTGTTTCTTTAGTAATCCCACCACGTGTTTCCCCCAAGATCTGGCGGGCACTGTCTCCATCTCCCCAACCATCATTGGCATCTCCGGGGACGTATGTGTGGGTTCGCGACGTGACACGAGATCGAGTGTGGCTGTGGGAATGTCCAAATGTAGGAGTAAGCTCGTATGTCGGCCTGGGTGAGCTACTGAAATCCTTAGCCATCGCGATGAAGAGCGGCCGCAGACACGGAATAGAAGAAGTGATTATCACCAGGCCTGCTTCGATATAGGCCCAATGCAACAACTGATCTTGTTTGATTGTAGGGTCTCCAGGTTGATTAAGTGAACGGAGTTTGACCGTCTTGACTAAACTGGCGACCATAGCACTAAAAGAAAGCCGCACGGGTTGTGTTAGTGATATTTTGGACAGAATATTTTCATGGCAATCAAGCGAGCTTGTCCATGCACTTACAACAGACCCATACTAAGTAGACACAGCAGCACGATCTTTATGCGCAGTCTGAGTTGCAAGCTCCAGAAGCTGTAGAATGGAAAGGTTGCGAGGTAGAAATCGGTTGCCGTGTTGAAAGCTAGGGCAGTTAGTATCGAGGGTACCACTCATGGGGGCTAGAGAGAAGGTAAAACGAACCGCTCTGAAAATAACTATAGGTAATCAGAATTTTCGGAGGTAAACAATATACACCGGTTATAGAATAATCGAAGACCGCCCTAATATCCTTGCACCCGGCGAATATCAGAAGAACTGGCACCACGTTGACGGGTGGTTGTAGTCCCAGAAGTATGAGTAATGTAATTCGCGTTTTCGATTGCAGCGGCACAAGACGGCGGAGGTACATGATGAATGCGATACGGCCAACCATACATGATAAAATGCATAGAGATTGTGCCAGGAGGTAGAACATGATGCTGCGCACGTCTTGATCATGTGTTATGACGGCGTTGCGAGCGTGACCAGCCTGGACCGCGATGGTAACGCAAGCAGCGCTGGAAATAAGCAACACCTATATCCGGAAGCACGATAGCAAAGTCAGCCCGTTATTCTACTGGAGGGAGCAGGTTGAACGCACAAACGCGAGGATCATCACCACATCGTCGACGTTGAATTTGGAAATTCTGAATTTGGCGACCACTCGGAGGGACAAAACGACAATTGCGGCCGCTGTAAGAGCCCATGCAGTTGCTAGTACACCAGTACCGGCATTGTAGTTTTCGTCCGACACTGTTGAAGCCATAGCGAAGGAAACTTGCGAAGAGTCTCAAGGAGACAGGCGCCAGTTTCTGAAGTACCGGATAGTGACTGCGCGTCGAACGGGGTTAAGCTTCGATTTAAACCTTATTATACTCAGAGGTCCAGAATTGTGGGTGTCTTGATCTAGCTTTTCCCCTCCCCCGGTCGGCAGTTCTTCGCTTCGGATACCCCGGCCATGGCATTCAGATCAGTGGGGTAGAGCCATTAGATTTCCATTTTTCTTCCTTCAAAAATGATGGTATTTGCCTAAACATCCGGGAATCAATGAGGACAACCCTAGCCCTTGTATCCAACATAAGTAGGTACTGGATCATTCCTTCTAACTTGTCACCGGCGGTGGTAAATATCTGAGATGGATATGTTGATTCGAAGCGATTTGATCCGCGGGATTTTAAGAATGGGTAATCAACAGATATAACAGTACAATGTGAGATCCCGGCCTTCGAATGGGCGTCCGATAAACCATTGAACGATTATAAGACATTTCTAGTCTACAAAATCGAGCACGACGCCGCCTTCCATGATACTTCCAGTAATCTAGAACAGCGATTTGGAGTTTGATTTATCCTTAATGGGGATACTTCATGCGGGTGGCCTCCAGGACTTCATCGCGAGGCAGTGGAGCCGCGATTATAAATGTTTGGCTGACAGCGCTTCGGCCGGTGGAAGACATCAGAAAAATTAGAATTTCGAAACAGGTAGGACAAAATTCGTGCGAGGCTGACTTCTCGTGTAGGTGGGTCGGATTACTTCCCCCTATCCCCACTAATCTAGCCACCCTTGTCCGCCTTTTCGAGAATTCGAGGGGGTAAGAGACACTGGCAAGAAGCAAATTTTCCTTTAGCACCCAGTGACGAAAATGAATGGGTTGTAGTGTCAAGTGGATGTATCCCCGGTTAAAATGTCGGTTAAACCTCGCTCGTATCTGTTCACGTGGCTCGTGGTCATGTGGCCCGTGGGCCAGGGCATTAAAGCTTTTGTGAGTTGTAGGTGCCTTCGACCACTGAAGCGGCCATCTCCTTCTGCTCGAATCAGGGTCCTACCTCATCAATCGGGCAATCGGGAGTTTAAAGACAAGGAATTTCCATAACTCGTCGACCGAATGGGCTCCTTCCCTGAAAAAGGTCGCCTGGAGAGGACCAACGTTTGGTGGCTGTGAGTCTGTGACTCTAAACACACGCGAAGGCTAAATCGGTACTGTATTCAATATTGAATGCACTGAATGGCCATGAACCTAATAGTATATAATTCAACTTGGCGGATTATCGAAATATTTATGGAACACGACTGTACCTTTCTGTCTCAAAAATTACACTTGAAGCTCCGAATTAAATTTCCACCAGGTTCTCCAGCTCCTTTAGTTGCCTTTTATCATGACCTGTTGAACGAGTTAGTAGGCAGTGGAGCCTTGGCACGAGTGGTGTGATGGGCGGCTCATAAGGAGGTTTCGGATTTTTGCATAGTCACAGTACATTGTACATGTATCTACACTGGCATGTCCCAAAATATCTCTCGAGCTTATAAATACCTATTATGAGATATCTGACGCTAATACAGCCTGGGACTATGTAATTATCCTTGAGCGTTGAAATATGAAGCTGTGAAATACTGCATTTACTGGTTTTGGAGGCGATCTGCTTCACCATGTGTTCCGTTTAACCGTGAATTAGGTTAGGCTTGAAAGTACGGACTACTGAGGAGAGTAGCCCCACATCATCTTAAGACCTGATCTAGGTCTCCACACCGGCCAAGCAACTTGTTTCAGCAAGTCACACGGGAGATGGGGCATTGACAACTACCGAGCAGAGCGTAGGGTCGTCCACGACAGACCTGGAGTTCCCATACGGAGGTCTTGCCTCAAATAGCCGATCAGATCGTCAATCAAAATTGGATTAGTTGGCCACTAAATCAAGCCCCGCCAATCACCAAGAAAACGCCAGAGTTGCCCCTGGCATGGCAGTATACCGTTATTGAGGCGGAGAAGGCTCCTAAGTTCAGGCAAAGACAGCTTCGTTCTTTATCCGAGGACTGTTTTCCCACTCTAACTATTTATTGAACAACGTTTCCTACGATGGACACAAATTGAACTCACTCATCTCTCGTTGAACCATTATCTATCTAATATTCTTGGGAACTGCTCTGTTACCATGAAGATTCTTTCTATAACGCGCGCTCTCGCCCTGTCTCTGGCCGCAAGACAAGGTCTGGCTGCCGTCACGCAGGGTATTTCTGATACACTCTACGGCAGGCTGATTGAGATGGCCACGCTCTCGCAAGCTGCCTACGCAAACTTGTGTAAAATTCCCCCGGCCATTACCATGGTGCAGAAGATATACAATGCCCAGACTGACATCAACGGATGGGTTCTTCGCGATGATTCACGGAAAGAAATCATTACCGTCTTTCGCGGTACTGGCAGTGATGTAAACCTGCAGCTCGATACCAACTACACTCTTGCTTTTTTCCAAACCAATCCCAAATGTGTCGGTTGCTTTGTGCATGGCGGATACTATCTTGGTTGGATCTCAGTCAAGGATCAGGTCGAGTCGCTTGTCCAAAAACAGGCCAGAAAGTATCCGGATTATGCACTGACGGTCACGGGCCATAGGTAGGCAATTCGTCTTGTCTAGTTCTTCATGAATTTCCTATGCTATTCCTCAATAATATCTCCCTTCCTAACTTACAATCTCTGATCTGACCAACACATAATTTAGTCTTGGTGCCTCGATGGCAGCCATCACTGCTGCTCAGCTATCTGCCACATATAATCGCGTTAAATTATACACCTTTGGTGAACCACGAACCGGCAACTCAGCCTTCGCGTCGTATATGAATACGCATTTTCATTCTACAGACCCCGCGGCGACTAAGTACTTCCGGGTCACCCATACTGATGACGGCATTCCGAACTTGCCCCCAACTGCCCAGGGTTATGCTCATTCGGGTGTGGAATTCTGGAGTGTTGAGCCCCATAACGCCCATAACACTTATATCTGCACCGGAGACCAGGTCCAGTGCTGCGAGGCCCAGGGCGGTCAAGGTGTGAATGCTGCTCATGTTACTTACTTTGGAATGAGTAGCGGAGCTTGCACCTGGTAGTCGGGATTGATTACGCTTGTCCTGATCTGGTGGTGACTGTATCGAATTACATATGGTGCTGTATGATGCTGGTGTTGATGCCTGCAGGAGTAGGCAACTCACATGAATTTAGTTCTCGTTGCAAAATAGTCCCCGGCAAAAGACTTAAAAAAAGTTGTGGAGTTAGATAATTTTTCATTTTCGGAAGAATTAACTTAGCATTAGTCGCTTCGTTACGAGAAAGTCTTTATCTGCTGACGTGAGTACAGTCTGTGTGTGTAATGTCCTGAAACGAAGGAACGGAGCGGAAGGGTGCCCTTGCAAAATCTAGAAAGGGGACAGCTGCTCT